TCTGCAAGTGTACATGAACGTCAACATCCCAGCCCCACCCCACCCCACCCCATGTCTGACGTAGCATCAACATCATGTCCACGTCGACACACACTTGAACATCAAAACGCACAAAAAAGTGAAGAATTTGCCACGGCCCCGAAACAGTCGGGCACCAACTACTTGCAGCCTTGTTATAGCATTCACTGCGCAGAGGTGTTGGAAGCTAAGGTCGGCCCTATCATAAACCTGTGTGGTATTGCCACAGTGTTTAGAGCATAGAACAATGGAGGGGACAGCAGCAGCCACCTCAAAGGACCAAAGACAAGGGCTAACACGGCAACACTCCAAAAATGTGCCAAACAATGGCATGCGCAAGTCTCCAGCACCCCGCAAAAAATATGGCCAATCAGGAACAAGCAGCAAAGACACTGAATTGAAAGCCTTCAAAAGTTAGATGGCTCGCTTTGGTTCCGCAAGTGCCCTGCGTGGAAGCGATCTACGTTGACAAAAAGGAAGCGCTTCACACCTGCTTCAAGATCAACAGGAGCAAACAATGAAAGGATATGTGCAACAAGTTATCAAAGAGACTTAGACGACGTGCAATATGTGATCTGCAAATGCAATGGGCGACCCTTTACATAGTTAGTTTTCGTGGCAGGCGCAGTGCAAGAGTGCAGATTTGGTGGTGCTGGAGGGGGGTTGGGGGGGAGGGCGCAGCGCCTCCCCCCAAAGCGAACCAAACGTTAAAACACAGCACCACAAAAGAAATCACTAGAAACTATGTACCCTATCGTCCTTTCAGTGAAGGGCATCTAAAAGTGCACAAAAGGACCTAAGGCAACCGAAGCCAAAAGCATTGTACGTTTGCAGGAAAACTGCTGCCAATAAGCTACAAGAGAAAGGACCAAACGCATAAAAAAGCATCAGTGAAAGAACAAGGAGAAAACCATAGGACACCCGCAGACCAAAGAACCAGGAGGGCAAAGGACCAGGAGACCACGGGACCGGACCAGGACCAAAGGACCAGGGGACCCAAAGGACCAGTGGACCAGCGGACTAAAGGAGAGGACCCGCAGATGACAGGGCCAGGAGAGCAGCAAAAAAAGGCCTATCCTGTAATATTACCTGTTTGATCCTCTTTCTATGGTTGTTTGATCATCTTGCTATTTCTTTTTGACGCTTTTTTTTAATTTGTTTTTGATCGTTCGATGTCCGGAGACCACACGGTGTTTCGTTCGAACCACCGGAACCCGGGACCTCGTTGTTTTCTGCTCTAAAAAGACCATGCTGTGCGCATGTAAAATTTAAAACTTTGAGGCTCAAAAACCACATATATATATATATTATTATTATATATATATATACAAAAACATGTAGTTGTTTCATGCTCAAGGCACCATTGGGTCCACAAAGACTGCAGTATTCCTTCTGGTTCTCTCTGTTCTCCTGCAACCAGCTGCAGCAATAATTCCAGATCGATGGCGGGGAGCTTGCGCAAGCGGTTTCTGTTTCGCGCTTCAGACTTTGGTCGCCAGAAGCGTTCACTCCCCTTGCCCCTTCCCACAAAAGTAAGAGGGTGGCCACCTGGTACCCAATGGATGTTGGTCACACACACACACACACACACGCACTCAATCCCAGCAAGTCATCTCAATGATCCTCCATCACCTTCTCAGAGGGCATGTGGATCCCAAAGTGTATCAACCTGCATCCACCAGTTCATCAACCCGACCATGTGCCACCTCAAAGACTTCTCTCGCCCCTCGCCAAGGCTTTTGATCCGATCTTCTTATAAAAACCTATAGAGCTTGACCACCTAAAACAGACCATACACCCCCCAAAAACATAGCTTCCTTTTGGCTATCACAACAAAGGTCAAAGGGGTTCC